TTATTGTGTGTGCGTACAGGGGGTTGTTGTATACTGTCCTGTTGTGTGTTGCATTTGTGATTACAATTCCATACACTAGAGCTTTATGTCCCGTCTGTCGTGGCCAGGTGTTCAACACAATGGATCGCGAGCTGGCCGCCCTGAGGGAGGGTCGCTCCCCCTTGGACCAGCGCAGCCAGAGCATCTCGGTCAAGTCGCTGATCCGCTCCATTGAGGAGCAGGTTAAGTCAGGCTGCTCCTCCATCCACTCCAGCCGCTCCGAGTCTCGGCGAAGCTCCGCCTCCTCAGACATCTCGCTGAAAGACCTGGTCAAGTCGCCCACCTCCCCTCTGCCCACGCCTGACAGCCCGCGCTCGCCCACCAAGGACTTCAGTCTCCGCTCGTCGAGTTTTCGGGGGAAATCCACGAGTGGGGACATCTCTCCACAACAGAGACTTGGGGGCGGGGTCTCTGGGGGCGGAACTGTTATTGGGGGCGGTCCCAGCCCTGGAGAAGGCGGGTCAAAGAACATTTTGGGGTCAAGGGGAGAGGCCGGGGAGGCGGGGTCAGCGGGGAAGTCCACTCCGCAGATTTCCTCCATTCTCAAGGACAGGAGCACGCCCAGACGGAACAGCGGGGCTGTGTGAGTTGTCCTCGTTTGTGGCCTTTTGTTTTTGTCTACTCTTATGCTATATTTCTTCTGCTTTATTTTCTTTTTTTTTTGTGGGGTAAGGGGGGTGGTGATGGTTAATGAACAGCATGAGGTAAGATGGAATTTGACAGAGAATAAATTTTTCTGATAATCGGCACTTTTGAATATGGTTCTAACTGAATAGATCGTAAGATTTGTGTGTATGGGATATCATATTAATTTCAGGGGTTGTAGATTTCAGACGTTATATTTGGGTGTGTGTGAGTTTTTTCTATAAAACTGAAGTATGATATTTTATTGTTAAGTAGCACAGTTCAAATTCATTTAACAAAAGTAACACAGTTGTTGACTTACGTTCGCTCAAATTGAACCTTTGTTCTAACTTGAACTGCTGCTTTTTCTTTTCTCATCCTCACTATCGTCATTTTTTACTCTACCTCTTTTGTATGTTTGTCACTCACTTGTGAACTGCTATTTGCGGGATGCCTTGATAGTCAAAGCAGACTTTGTGCTGTTGAGGCTAGCGAGGTGAGCAGAGTAAGCCTGATTCCCCATTTGGACTTTTCTTTTCACATCCACCCCTTGGCGCTCATATGACCTTATGCAGTTGCAAGCGCCGCAAGACCTTACTAAAACTAAACTGACTTGAATTTGTTTGAAACTGACCTTTGTTCTAACTTGACATTTGTTCTAAGTTTACTTATAATAATATTTTGTTTTGACCTTTGTTCTAACTTAACCTACTTTGTGTTCCCCCTCCAGGGAAGTGGACACCTCAAAGAAAGAAACCCCGGGCAAAGACCCGCTGGCCTCACTGGCTAAGCTGATGAAAGGCTCCAAGAGAAACGCCTTGCTGAAGTGGTGTCAGCTCAAGACAATCAACTACTCTGTGAGTGACCCTGTGTGTGTCGTGGGGTTGAGTGGGAAGACTCAGAGTGACCCTGTGTGTCTGTCAGTTCTGTCATTGGGGTGTGGTGGGGGGATACTATCAACTACTCAGTGAGTGTCTCTATCTGTCATAAAGGGGGTTGGGGAGGGAAGACCATCTGTTAGCTATTCTTGTCTCTATCATCCTTATCTCCCCTTCTTCTTTTTTATGTTTGTTACTCCCTTGTAACACCTCTAATTTCCTGGCCCTCATTTGACCTTATGCAGTTGCGAGCGCCGTAAAACTTCTACTAAAACAAAACAGTTGATATGTTTTGTTTTTTCTGCTGTCCTTAGGTGTATATAATTAATGTACTGTGTGGTTGTGAAAGTTTTTCTTTATGTGGTTGAATTGGTTGTGGGGCTCTCGTGGCCTAGGGGTTAAGGTGTTGGCCTCTCATTCAAAGGTCCCGGGTTCGAATCTGGGTAGCGACCGAAAAATGTTCTTCTCTAAAATTGTCTCCTTTCATCCCCTTTCCTGCTCTCTAGCAATGTTCTGTTGTCTGCTTTCATTTCCACTTTCGCCCCCACCCTCTCACCTCCTTTGCCCCCTCCTTTGGGCTCCTGACTCTTTCTGCAACCTTTCTACTGCTACTCCTTGGCTCCTCCTTACTGCTGTCTTTCTGCCACACCCCTGATCTTCTGGGAGAAAAGATCTACACCTAGCCTTCTCCGACAAGGGCGAAAAATCTCAGAGGGCCCGTGTGCAAGTTGCGCACGTTAAAGATCCCTTGGTGGTCTAAAATTGATAAGAGTAGGCTTCGGCCGCCACCCGGGCATATTCGAAATTTCCTACCAACTGAAAATATTAGGTGTGTCCCGCGCACTCATATGACCTATGCAGTTGCGAGCGCCGTAAAACACTTTACAAAAAAAAAATATAAAAAATAATAAATTGGTTGTTCTTGTTACTGTGAAATATTTTTTCTTAGTGGTTATATA